TCGTCCTCGTCGTTGCCGTTGTCGTCGTCGCCGTCGTCGTCGTCGTCGTCGTCGTCGTCGTCGTCGTCGTCGTCGTCGTCGTCGTCGTCGTCGTCGTCGTCGTCGTCGTCGTCGTCGTCGTCGTCGTCGTCGTCGTCGTCGTCGTCGTCGTCGTCGTCGTCGTCGTCGTCGTCGTCGTCGTCGTCGTCGTCGTCGTCGTCGTCGTCGTCGTCGTCGTCGTCGTCGTCGTCGTCGTCGTCGTCGTCGTCGTCGTCGTCGTCGTCGTCGTCGTCGTCGTCGTCGTCGTCGTCGTCGTCGTCGTCGTCGTCGTCGTCGTCGTCGTCGTCGTCGTCGTCGTCGTCGTCGTCGTCGTCGTCGTCGTCGTCGTCGTCGTCGTCGTCGTCGTCGTCGTCGTCGTCGTCGTCGTCGTCGTCGTCGTCGTCGTCGTCGTCGTCGTCGTCGTCGTCGTCGTCGTCGTCGTCGTCGTCGTCGTCGTCGTCGTCGTCGTCGTCGTCGTCGTCGTCGTCGTCGTCGTCGTCGTCGTCGTCGTCGTCGTCGTCGTCGTCGTCGTCGTCGTCGTCGTCGTCGTCGTCGTCGTCGTCGTCGTCGTCGTCGTCGTCGTCGTCGTCGTCGTCGTCGTCGTCGTCGTCGTCGTCGTTGCAGTTGTCGCCGTCGTTGCTGTCGTCGTTTTCGTCGTGGTCGTGGTCGTGGTCGTGGTCGTAGTGGTCGTCGTCGTCGTCGCCGTTCTCGTCGTCCTCGTCGTCGTCCTCGTCCTCGTCTCTTGCTCTCTTTCTTTCTCTCTCACTCTCTCTTTCTCTCTCTCGCACTCAGTCGCAGTCTCCCCTTCGTTCTCTCCGGGAGTGGCGAGGGGGAGGAGGAGGATGGAACTCTAAGTTTTAACAATTCACGAAAGACGAGAGAGGAAAGAGAGAGAGAGGTGACGAGCCGCACAGCACGTACTTTCCTTGGAAATGAGCTTGTTGCCGACGAGTATCTTTACGAAAAGCGAAAATGCGTGCGGAACACGCGCGCGGGCGCGATCCGACGTTAGGCAAAAACGTTCACTTACATGGGCTTACGGTAGTGCAGGGGAATAAATGTAAGATAAAGACGGAGCGATGGTGGAAGAGCGAGCGAGCAAGCGAGTAGGAGCGGTACGTTAGCCGGGTAGAGAGGGGAGTGGAATGATTGTATGCGTGCGTGCGCGCGTGTGCGAGAAAGGGAGAGAGAGAGAGAGAGAGAGAGCGCGAGGGGAGAGAGTTGGCGAGAGAGCGAGTGGGAGCGAACAAGCTAACTTGATCTGCAAAATAGCTACGGCAACAACGGCGACGATCTCAAAGATTTTAAACCCCTGTCAAGGGCTAGCCAACATGGCGATTTCGGAACGCCAACACCTGGCCAAATCTTCGATAAAAACGCACATTGTTACGCTTCATCTGCTCGTCATTGGAATTGAGCTTGAAATATGTTTTAGCACTATTTACAATTTGATTTGCATTCGGATGTGTTTATGCTTGGACGTGACGCATCCTAAATTGTTCCCATTACTACTAGCATTACATTTTCAATGAATAGAATGAATATTGTTGTTTAAGCGATAATGTAGAGTGGCGGCAATTCCGGTTCATCCGACCGTTCGGCCCAACGCATTTTATTTGCACAATGTACGTGGTTTATTAAAAGACACATTTCATATTCAATTACAATTTGTGCCAATGAGCTTGGATTATTGATATAATTGATTATGCTCGTTAAATTTTCTTTAAAGCAACGCTTTTGATGATATTTTTTAATATGTTTACTCGATCATTGAATTTAAAGGCCAACTTAATCTACACCACTTGATAGAAAAAGGTATATTTAATCGCAAAGGAAATTCAAAAATTCAAATAATTGTCAATTTGAACGGTAATTTTTATAACTCTATTAAATATCTTATAAAACGCTTACTCGAATTGTTGAATGACCCCTTGAATTTTAGTGGCTTAATTGCTTTAATTAAAAGTCTCGATAGAGATAAAGATATAAACAATCGGCTAATTAACTCTAGTTGATGTGCAGAAAGAAATGATATCTCGGCTTAATAACATGCTTTTCCACATGTGAATTCAAATAAGGCATTTTCCGCTTTCCCATGGTCTACCTTATTCGCCAATCACACTATTTGTCACAATGCTCAGGTTCAGTTATATCCTCCACATTCCTACGTGCAGCAAAATATAAAACACTTAATATTAAAAACTTCATAATTGTACATGTTTTTGCATTATCTTACATATTAATTGCTCCATCAATTCTCAAATAATGTTTATTGTTATTATTATAATTATTATTATTAATTTACGTATAAATTTTGTATGTTGAATTAGATACAAGGAGCGGTTTTATAATAAGAATTTCATAAATGTTTGTTAGAGAGAATATTCTTTTAAATGAATTGGCAATGTAAATAAAAGCTTTTCATCTACCACCGTGTAAAAATAAGGAGTAAAATAAAAAATTTATTTTAATTTTACATCAGATGCAAGCAGATTTGTACTTAATGTCACTACTATTGGGTCGTTGAATATCATGAACTGAACCTAAATTCTGATTATATGGCTTTAACATTAACCACATTTGGTCGTTCAAGTCAGAGGCTACGTATTTACACAAAAAAGGTGGACATATTTTACTTAGAATATGGATAAATAAAGTTTCGCTGTCAAGAAAGAATAAAAACCTACCGATCGTTATTCGTTTTTAATAATGAATAATATAAGCAATCAGAAATTTATGAAAATTTTGTATGCTAAGGGATACGAATGCAAACAATTCCTGTTTATCGTAATTTAGCTATTAATTCTTATCGAAGCATTAATTCTTAATTTAAATAATTTACAAAAACGAAGGATAAAACGACATTTGTCTTATGCTTTTAATATTTATACTCGATATTTTAACCTAAAGATGATTTATGAATGTTTCTACTAGATATATAAACTTGTTACAAAGCCATATATTTATAAAATTAATATTAATTAAGTATTTCATTTATTTATCTGTAAATTATATCAAAATTTATATTTTTAAAATCATAAAAAAAAAAAAAAAAAAAAAAAATTATAGTTTTAATTCAACTATTTTGTTTACTGTAAAGTTTGGCTAAAACACATAATAAAGTAACAAAAATAACATATTCAATCTCATTCCAATTACTGTATTTTTAGACAATAAATTTTCATTTATTATTTATAATCAATACATAAAATGTAATTAATAAAACATTAATAACTATTGTTTAATATATGGTTATTATTTCTTATGCGTTAAAATTTTTTAATATAAAATACATTTTCGTAACAAATTCAAACAAGTAATAGATATGTTATTAAGTATAGTTACAGATTGGCAATTATATATTAATTTGTGAAAAATAAGTAGGCCGTATCATAAATTAATTAGTAAACTATCTATGTACGTTCTATTTTTCTCTTATGCCTAGAATCTGAACCTTAAGGTATGAAAGAAAATTATTTAACCAAAAGGACAATATCATTACTAAAAGTAATAAAAACAGAAGTAATAATAAGGAATTATTATTTTTTACGAAAAAATCCAATTGTCCATTTCTATATTTTACAAATTTTTCGTAAGATGCGTAAGGATGTCGAACGGAGGAGTAAAACTATAATATATCTTACCTATTTTAGATATAACTAAATTAAAAATTATTTTTTTGTTGTTGTAAACTCATAACGTTGTTTTATCAAAAATATTCGATTGATATATTAATATCTATTATAATTTATTATATATTTAAAATATATATGTATATATATATATATATATATATATATACATATCATTTTTTGTTTTTCTTCAAAATTTCCTAATAATGTATAATTTTTTTAATATTTCGAAACACTGGGGGAAAACTTATAGATTCTATTGAAAAGTTTATTGATAAAAGCACTCAAATAAGCATTTATTATATTTTTACTTTGAGTATAATTGTATGTTATATTATTGTTTATCATGTAATTCATTAGTTAATTTATTATATGTTCCTTTCTTTAGCCTTTATATTTAGTAATATTTAGAATTTTATCTAATTATCTGTAAGAAAAGAGTGTTTTATTCGACTTATACGGCTGTATTAAATTCATAAAATTTCTCTTCTTTCAATAATTACGATTAGCAGATACTTGTTTAGTCATTAATTTATTTTTATTTATTTTTTTATTTATTTCTTTATTTAGAAAAGTTTCTATTCTATAGGTACAATTCTTTCAAATATTTATTATATTACTAATTCGTTTAAACTTATTTTAAACGATCGATTAAAATGTCACGAGCAAATGTAATAAAATTGTTGTTTCAGCTAGGAATATTTCTCATTATTTATTGGCTTCGCTGTGTATTTGAAATTTAAAAATTTCTCTGACACGAGTATAAAATATAATAGGAAAGTAGATAATGTCAGATATAATATTTGCTTATCGGACTGATGAAATAAAAGTAATTTTCAAGCCTACAAATCCCATATAATTCGATAAAAGGACGAATGTATGATATCTTAATAATTCAAATAAATACGCGCAATCCCCTCTAGATTCACAATATTAATAATTGGAATATTAAAAATATATTATAAATATGTGAAAATCAATATTCAAAATCATTAAATAATAAGATGTTTCTAATAATTATTGAGTCTAATTGAATTGAAATAAAGCCTTTTTAAATATATTCATAAAAATGATAATCTAAAATACTGAATTTATCGAAATATTTGTGTAAATATAAAATTCACTAAAGTTCAAATAACACCACGTGATAGTCCTTTTCTTTTCTCAAGAAATTTACGGCATTTTGAAGCTTACCGGACTGTGACTACGAATGACGTTCAGGCATGATGGGCGTGACGCGCCGTTTGACGTCGCTTTGACGGCGTTTGATTGGTTAGATGTCGAGATAGCGTGATACGACAACTTGAATAAGATTTTAAACTTTTTAACGTTTCTTTTGGGAATTGCCAAACGTTAACTGCCATTTCTGGTCGGCCGGGAAAACGAAACGCGCCGGCATTGGTATTGTTTAACGTCCGCCGAACTATACATTAAGATAAATATTTCCAGCAAATGAAAACAAAATGAGTTTTCGTGATTTGTGAAGTTTAGGCGTATTCATGAGAATAACGATTTTATTCGCGAAGATTTTGCTTATTGCATGCAGTGTCACAAATCTGAAGCTATTTATAAAGGGTTGGTAGCGCTTTATATTTTTTCAATTGTATTAGCATAAGTTTTTGTTATTTCCTATGGTCGTAATGAACATTAGGATCTAGAAAATTTATCAATAAATACTTTTATTTATTATCTTCAATATTTTCATATGTTGTTTATACTTTTTCATTGTTTTTTTTTCTATTTTTTCCGAATATCTTAATTTTGCAGTCATAAATATTACTTATAAAGTATCCTACTAATCCTACTAATGTATATTAAATTTATTATGAAATTTATTTTAGATAACTGTAAACTAATTCTTAAAAGTTTTGATAATAGCTGTAACTTTTAAGGTAAGATTTTTGAAATATTATTTTAATTCTATTATTTATTATAAGTTGTAGTTCTTACAATTATTTTATGTACAGATGGAATCACGTCTTCCAAAATTGAATTTTCAATTTAAAGTACCTGCTAAAACAATAACCGGTGGTACAATTAATAATTCATTAAAATCGAATGTGGCATCAAATAGTAATAATGCATCAAATATAATAAAGAATTCAGAAACAAAACTTGCAACAAAAACTTTGAGCACATTAAACGTTGCTGCAAACGCAGCGGATGAAAATAAAGCGCCTTTAACACGATCAAAAACTATGGCTTCGATAACAAGAACAAATTTAACAAAAGCACCTTTGAAAAGACCAGGTATCGCTAATAATGTTGAGCCGAAAAGAGCAAATTTAAAAACAACAATGAAGTCAGTTATCAGGCCAGTAAGACCTGCAACTATAGTCGGTACTGTTGCAAAAGCTAGAGCAATAACTTCAACAACTACCAAACCAGCGGGGCCCAAGCCATGCAAGTGGGATCTTAAAGGTCGTTTAGAATATACTAACAATGAATTAACTACATTAAAGCAGAAACATAGGGAAGTATCAACAGAATACAATAACATACAAAGTGAAATTATTAATCTTAGAGAAAGTGAGAGTACTAATAGATTAAAAGCTGAGAATTTAGAAGCAGAGTCCAATAAATTAATTAAAGAAGTGGAAACGTTGAAGATAGAAATTGATAAGCTACAAACAGAAAAGAACAGTTTAGTGAAAGAGTTAAAGGAATCAAAAGACTTGTATAATAAAGTATCAGTTTCATTGGAGCAATATAAAGATGATCTGTGCGTTAAAGCAGTTTTAATAACAGATCAGGAGAATGAAATAATGCAATTGAAAAACAAATTGGAAATTCAAGAAAAAAGTAGTACCAACAGAATAAGCGAGCTCGAAACACTTAATGAAGATTTAGGAGCATTAGTTCAAAATATGGATAAAGAGAGAAGAGTTTTGCATAATGCTATTCAAGAATTAAAAGGGAATATTAGAGTTTTTTGTAGAGTTAGGCCTAAACTCTCTAAAGAAGCAATAAAAAAGTAAGCTAAAAATAATTATTTAATTGTTATAATTAAGTTTTAATGATTGTAATAAACTAATGATTATAAATTATTTTCTTAGCACATGCGCTATTAATTATCTTGATGAATGCACTCTCGAAGTTGGAAAAGCGGATGGGGACGTTGCTAATATCAACAATATAAAATTGAAAGGGCAACGTCAAGAATTTACCTTCGACAAGGTGTTCCCACCAAATACCTCTCAAGCTGATGTTTTTGCAGAATTGTCGATGCTTGTGCAGTCTGCGCTCGAGGGCTACAATGTATGTGTATTCGCATACGGCCAAACAGGTTCGGGTAAAACCTACACAATGGAAGGTTTTCCTGGTACAGACGACGAAGGCATGATCCCAAGAACGGTATGAGCAGACTTTTGTAAAACCAAACGTTTCTTAAACGAACGATCACTTTGCAACTTCACATTCTAGGTAAAGCATATTTTTAAAGAAATGAAACAATTTGAATTACTCGGCTGGGAATATAAAATTGAAGCAAGTTTTTTAGAAATTTATAACGAGCAAATAGTGGATCTTCTTGATTACACGCGAAAAACGCACGAAATAAGAATGACGGACAGCAAAGGAAGTGATTTATATGTTAGTAATCTATTGGTTCAAGAAATTAACAGCCCCGAAGAATTACAGCAATGCCTTTTAATTGCTCAGCAAAATCGCGCCATGGCAGCAACGCAGTCAAACGAGAGGTATAGTAACGTATAGTTGAGTTGTTTTTAGTGAAGCGCCACGTGAGATATTTGAATCGTATTATTTTTGCAGATCTTCTCGGTCACATTCTGTTGCAAGAATACGATTGATAGGTACACATAAGAATAAACAAGAAATTTCTATTGGGAATTTAAATTTAGTAGACTTAGCTGGAAGTGAGCGATTAAAGAATGAAGAAGCTGCAAGAGTCGCAGAAACAAAAAATATTAATAAGTCTTTGGCTAATTTGGGACACGTTATTTTAGCATTACTTCAAAAACAAGACCACATACCTTACCGAAATTCTAAGCTCACCCACTTGCTCATGCTTTCGTTGGGAGGAAATTCTAAGACTCTTATGCTTTTAAATATTTCACCCCTTGAGGAATCCTACAATGAAACACTAAATTCATTAAGGTTTGGCAGCAACGTTAATAGTTGTAAAACAGGTACTATTAAAAAGATAAGGACTGTTTTATAAATTTGTTTAAAATTTGTATTCGATGATATTCGATGCTGAAAATGTACAAATTTTATTGTCAAATTGGACAAGAATGAAGTCTTATTAGAGACTGTTTTTTACAGTCTTACTTTAAGCAAAAATACAATAAGAATAATTTTATAGAAAAAAGTATATTAGGACACGTTTTACTATCAAGTTATTGAATTATAAACATTATTTTTAATGTATACCTAATTGTAGAATAAATACCTATAAAGTATCGGTATTCATTAAGATTTTTAACTTTTCTATTTTGACTAATAAGAAAATTGCCTTTAAATCCATGTATTATCAAAATAAAAATTTTGACTGTATAAGCTGTAAAAAGTAATTTATAGTTTTATGTAAAAATTTTAAAACGTCAATACTTTGATTATCATAGTTTAATATTATGCGTATTAATGTGAATATCAAAAAGTGGTTAGTTTTTTTATTTTTTTTAATTTTAATTATTTCCATATGAAGTATAACAAAATTTTGCAGAAGCCTAATCTGCATGTTATAACGGATTAAATTTTTTTTTTTTTTTTTTTTTTTTTTTTTAAAACTAATGTTAAGTATTTTGAGAAAAAAAATGCTGAAAAATTATTTTAATTTTAGTATGTTTGAAAATTACACGATTTTAATTATTAAAACAGAAAAAAATTATTATGGAACAAAAACCTTGAATACAATCTTATATTTTGTTTAAATTTTTATTTTAATAAAGTAATATTATCGTACTAAAATATGTCCCTTATAATTCTTACAAAAGCATAAAACACAAATTTCTTACTTTTTACTTAAAAGTAGTGTCTATAGTTCTTTTTTTTCTTTATTTACTCATTCTACTTATAAATTTAACAATGGCTAATAAATTTACGGATATTATTCAATTTTATTACTTTACAAGACATTTTTCAAATTTTACAATAATTATTTAAGAATTAAAGCTTTCAACCGAAACATTTAATTACGAAATTGAGCAAAACTTCATAAACTTAAAATAAAAACATGTCCTGTATGTGTAATATTATTGCTAATTGTTATTGCCGTAAAACTTTAACTTATACCAGTTTCGTATTTTAAATTATTCATTACATAGAAAAGGAACTTTTCTTTTACTTATAAGACAAAATTTATGTTAATTATAATAAAAACTTCATAAAAATAACGATTATTTGCATTCGATTCAATAATTCATTAACCTATGGAGGAAATATGATTTAAAAGTATAAGATAAGTTTATCATTATTTTGAAATTTTAACATTTTTTTTTTTTTTTTTTTTTTTTTTTTTACAAATTTCTACGATACTGTACAGATAATATTTTAAATATATAATTTTGCAAATAAAACCATGTATAGCTATTCCAATTTTTTATTTAATGAACTTTCTAACAGATAAATATCCGCTAAGTTAATAAAACAAGTCCTATTCAATTTTCAAGGGAAATATACAAACGAATTTTTTTGGTATAAAATAATACTACTAGATACAAAACAAATTTTATTTAGTTTATAAAGAAACTATAGCGATAAAATGAATAAATTTTTTTTTTCACAAAAAAGTATATATGTACATATATACTTTCTCATTGCTCTTTATGTAATTCTGATATTGTAGTTCGTACTTTTTGTAACAATTCTGACATTTGATCGTATTTACCGGTAGAGTCTGGCAAGTTTTCGAAATTGATAACTTCGCTTATAGATTTGGAAAAATTTTCAGAATTTGGTAATCTTCGGTAAGGCGAAGTACTTTTTAATATGGGAGTACCTAGATGTATTGCTAAAATTGATTGGTGACCAGATGTAGATGGTGTTCTGGAGCTACTTTTAGGAGTAACGTTATTTACATCTTCTATTTTATTTGAATCAAATTCTTCGCTCTTGGATGACTCCATTTCAGATAGCTGAGTATTTGATAAATTTGTGTTAGATGCCGAAGCCTCTAAAGATTCTGGTTGATTTACTTCTTTTACCACGTCGTTGATATTAGATTGAGATCCGTCTAATTCAGCAAGGAGCTGATTCTTTGCATTCTCTAGATCAACCAAAGATGGCGAAGAAGTTCTTACCGGTGGATCTAGCCTTTCGTCCTAGTAAATGTAAATGAAAATCAATCAAATGTTTATTTTAAACAATAGCCATTATAATTTCACATAGTTTATATTTTAAAGTGAATGATATCGTGATCATACATTCAAATCCATTGAAATATTTTCACATGGTTGACAGTCTGAATCTTCTGCTCCTGCTATTGGTATTGGTGGTGGCGGCGGAGGTACTTCTATAATATCATTTTTAGGCAATGGAGGTATAAATAAATCTTTAACAGGTACATTTTCTACTGAAGTCTCTGAAGTATAAAACAATGCAACTTATATGTCAAGTAATATATATATGTGTGTGTGTGTGCGTGTGTATGCGCGGGCGCGCGCGTGTGTATATATATTGAAAATAACATTTATTTACCAGTAATTTCGTCAATATCCATTTCGCCTGGATTCATATCCGTTCGTACTTTTAAATTAGCAGGGTTTGGCAATTTTTTTCGCACGTAACCATCATCAACCTTTTTATTACTTAAATAAGATAACATGGCGGCTTTACTGTATCGTTCTTGCATCGACGATCCCCAGTATTGCTTACATTCCTTTCGAATAGCGATTTCCATAAAAATTTCATACGTTCGCTTATTTAACATTATAGATAAATCAATAAGTTACCTCTCTCGTTCCATACGGAGCTATGACATTAAATCCAGGAAAGTCAATAATTTTCTTAATATCATATTTGTCTTTATCACCCGGGCAAATAATTTCACCTTCTTCGTCCGATTCAGCCTCCGCACAACCCTCTGAATTAAATAAAGCTAATCCGGAGTGTTGCAATCGAGCTTCTTCTAGCCAACCTGGAGGATAGCCTAGTGTCCTCATTCTACGAAAGATGGTAAATTTTAAATTATAAATGCAGAACAATGTACACCAAGAGCATGACATTTACCTATAAATATGCCTTGGAAGTTCATTCTCCTTTACACCTAAAGCTTTACGTAAATTTAGGCTTATTTGACCAGGGATAAAATGTTCAAACCTTTGATTCTCGTCTAAATGATATCTGACATTTAGGGGTCCTCGTTTGGCATTATAAGATTTTCGATTTTTATTTATGGCTACGTAATTACGGGGCTCTTCGCAGTCGCGTAAGTTGTGATTACCTAAACAATTGAAGCATGTTCTTTTTGGTCCGCAATCTTCTTTTATTTCGTTGACTTCGTCTTGAGATTTTTGAAGAGTTTTATTAAACTTCTACAAGAGTTATAATAAATCAATTATGAAAGATAGGAAAGGCGCAATACTTAACGATATTAATGCCAACGAACGGTAAGACAAACCTTTCTATACATAGGAATGTCAAGATCATCTCGAGATTTAGGATTAGTATCTATGGTAAATAAAGAATTATTTGATTGTTTCTCTTTCGATGAATATTTTGGTGATACATTATAGGAAGAGTGTTTCACATTATCGTTGGAATCGAATATCTGAAGAATCAAATCCTCGGTCGTGGACTTAACATTCCTATTGATATTTTTGGGTAATATTAGCTCTTTTAAGAATCGTTCAATTTGTTCGCTGTAATTTCTGAAACAAAAATGGACTTTTTAACAATATTTGCATAAAATTAGTAGAACGCATTTAGATTGGATGATGCGTATCATTACATGTAAATACATTCAAATGATTAAGTGAATGACATTTTTAGGATAGATATTAATTTAAAGATTATAATTGTACATTTATAATGATACGACATTAGTATTGGATTGACCCAATATCTCGTGAAAATTTAAGATATAAAATAAACAACAACAACAACAACGACAAAAAATAAAATAAAAATAATAAAAGAGAAAAACTATAATATGAAACAAAAAATAGCAAAGTAGATTCAATTTATTACATAAAGTTTTATTGAGTTTACAACGAGGAAAGATAAGATATAGTCGAACGACTATTTACGACTATTTACAACTATAAGGGCCAGTCGATACAGAGTATAATATATGAATAATAAAAAATAAAAATAAAATGTACAATACCAAGAGTTAGTTTCGCCCAATTCTCTTGCGATACAAAGACATAAATAGCGAAATGGGTCTTCTCATTTGAACAATGTTCTCGTCAAATTATAAGTATTTGTTGATAAAACTGACTAACAGCGTAAAGCAATGACAATGAAAATAAAAAATAAATACAATAACGTCTTACATAATCGTTGTATATGCCAAATTAATTTTGAAATTCGTATTATCAAATGCTTAAATCAATTAATATGTTTAAATTAAATGGGCCAGAAGTTGTCGTCAATGTACTTTACAAAAGCATAATCAATACATATGAAAAATACAGAATCTTACTGAAAAGCCGAAGCATCTCTAAAGAAAATTTTGAAAATGGGTTGCGGATCTTTACTGTAATCGTTACTCGTCGATAATTGCTCCTGATCACCGACCTCGTTCAGAATCACAAAACCATCGGGGGCCACTCCAGGAGGTAAAGTCCCGTCGAAATGAACTTTTGTTGTATCCAAAGTCGATAGGTTATAGACGCTATCATTGTTATCTTCCGTGCTGTCGTCCAACGGTATTACCTCGTCCGAGGCTGAGCTTATCAAAGCACTCATGGATAAAACCCGGTGTATTGCACTCCACTTTCACGAAATGCTTTGGCCCCTGCCAACGGGCATTGGATTTTAGTAAATAATAATTTTGTTTGTTTGTAATTCGAATAAGACGGGGCTTTGCCGCTGAGTCAAGTGCTCGTACGCATCAGCAACGAAAACAGTTCAATGCCGAAAATTCGTCTTTCTCTCTCTCTCTCTCTCTCTCTTTCTCCTCTCTCATTTTCATATTCCATTTTCAGACTGCCTTGTCCAAAGTCTAATAATTAATATCTGCCAATCATAATGTCCAGACATCAAATGGCCCAGGCCATTGCAAAAACGACTTTTTCTCCCGAAATTTTTTTATCAACATCCACAATTGTTCCAACGCCGAGTCTTTAATAATATGCATTTCAAGCCACCACCGACACAAACCCGTTCGTCCCAATACAAACGCGCCTTAACGCCAGTTTCTTAAATCTAAATTATTAAAAGCCAATTGTACATAAAACAAATAGTTGTTTACAGATAGTCAATTTTTAATGCTTGTTGTTGCCGTTTATTTTTATTTTGTAGGTGCTTAAGGTAGTCGTAAACTGGCTCGAGCGTACATTGTTAAGTCATTGTTAATTGGAGAAGAATTTGTTGTCTCGTCGATAATAAGTTTGCTGGACTGGTTTCTAACCTACGTTTATTTAACGATTAACCGACCAAGGCGAGGGGAATTATATTTTAGGAAAATGTCGAGTGTCGAGAGCCTGCCGCAACTACAGAAGGAGATATTCAATAAAATCAGTAGCAATAAGACGGACGATTTGAAGACGATACTAGCCGCCAATAAAGTCAAGGTCGATTTTATTGATGAAAATGGCATGAGTCCGTTGCAACATGCCTGTTACAAAGGCAACAGGGAAATTGTGCAGATGCTGCTCGATCACGTAAGCTTTTGCTTATTTTTGATTTTCATGAATGAAAAGAGGCGTTCTCGTGGCCAACGAGACGTTCGTTGTTCATAAATCATCTTATGTTGCATTAGGGTGCCAACACAAACGAATGCCAGCATGTGCACGAATACACAGCCCTGCACTTTGCTGCATTGAGCGGTAATGCAGATTTGTGTAATCTTCTATTGGCGCACGGAGCAAAGTTGAGCGCGACCAACAGCGTTGGGAGAACGGCTGCTCAAATGGCTGCCTTTGTGGGGAATCACAATTGCGTCGTGGCCATCAATAACTTCATTCCAAAAGCAGACATAGATTATTATATAAAACCACAAGGTTTACAGACTGAGCCAATGCTGCATCCGCACATAGCCGACAACTTCCACTTATTTATTATGCAAGTTAACGTTAATCCAGTTCGAGTAGTGTTGAATTTACAAAAGTTTTTAGGCTTAATAGATAATTTGCCAATGGTATATATGGCATCTGTGCTCGTACAAAATCATAGGCTATTTGAATGTCCCTTAATAAACGCATGACTTTTTAGATTCAAAAGGTGCTGGAAGCAATGCGCCAAAGAAAAATGACCAGGGATCAGGAGACGAACGAAGTAATGGCCTTTAAGTATCACTATCTCAGTTGCGTGGTGGCGGAGGTAATTAAGTGTCACAAGCAACAGGGGGCTTTAAAAGCCGAAAAGAACGACAATGTTAAAGGGATCGAAGATAAGAAGTCGGATGTGATAGAGCTGCTTGTCAAGAAGTTCTTAAAATGTAAAAGCGATGGTACGTTCGAGTATCAGGAATTATTTTTGAAAGAAACGGTAAGGGAATTTCAGTACAGAAATAGTAGAATCTTTCGTCAGATGGTCGCTACGCTAGCCAGTACGGATCCACCAAGTGCCATATCGGTTATCGAAGCGGCAATCAATGGACAACAAGTGTTCAACGACTATTCTCAAATTTGCATCACGTGCGGAGAGGAAAAGGCAACCAAGAAATGCAGCAAGTGCAAATCGGTACAGTACTGCGACAGAGAATGTCAGAGGCTGCATTGGTTCATTCACAAAAAGATCTGCAATCGATCGAGTCAGTCCAACACATCGCATGTAAAAGTGTCAGATTCAAGCAATGAATAAACAAGCGGTGCCCAGCTTCTCCAATGCAATAAAACTGTGGCTGTCAATTAAATCTTATTTATTTGTATTTACATGTATAGTGATATATTGTTTTACCGTATGCTAACATGAAATGTTATGTACTTGTCATGTCTATATCGATCTCGTAATTGTAAAGCATAAATATGAAACTTATCCGTTTACCGTTACTTTGGGAGCTGAAATTTCATTGCAATAATTCTTATACAACCATGCATACATCCGCACGCAGCACACAAACAAACACACACAACTAACGCGCCCACACCTCGTACACGAGTTAAAAAGTGTAAAACAAAATGTAAGGATTTTATTGATGCGACTTGTGTTGAACAAATGTGCTCCGGTCTATTAGCTTTTATCTTAATATTATGTACAGTTCAAATATAAAGCGATTATTTATAAGTGTGAATTTACGAGCTTATTATATCCTAGCTTAATCAAACTCTTATATCAAAGAAGTATCTCTCGCACAAGGCTTTTGATTTTCTAGTTACTTTTATTAGCAATTCTTAACATCCTAATGATAAAAATACAGCTTTTACATTCTATGTATGAAATCGGAACTTAAGCGAATTAGCAATTATTTTGTTGTAAATTTGGATAGGCCTTCCAGCAGGCCAATGTACGCAGTGTGCTCGTAGTTTGTACTTAGCTCGACCATTTGCTCGGCAAATTCATTGGAAATGCCTTTCTCCTCCAAATAATTCATGAGAAGGTCGTAGAGGTACTGAAAGCAAATCAATCGTCGCTTAGTGTCGATCGACGCCGAGGCTAAGGTGCACTCCAATCAAACTCTTATCAAACTTACCCCATCGATGATTTCACCAGCAACCGAGTAAACTGTTTCCACGTGCTCTCCCTCGTAAAGTGTTATCTCGTCAATACCAAAGATATCGCCTGCAATGATAATCATAATGGAATACGTTAAAAAGCTCGCTCGACCGGCATCGTCCATGTGACACTCGCGCTACTCTCCACGTCATTCGTTAGCTGTTTGACGCGCAGACGTCGAGCTAAAGTGCCGTCATTGCTTTACCAAAGGTAAATAATCGGTGCGATCATTAGGATCTCTCGGACCGTACTCAACGCTTTGGAATATCAGCCCTTTGCAATTACGAATAGGATAATAACTATACGAACTGTAAGAGTCGTCCATTCCCGAGGCTCCGGGCTCGCTGTTAAACGAGCAGCCGAACGATAGAGTCTGGTTTCCCCTCCTGATGTCGATCTCGAAACTCGGCTTGCTCTTTATTTCGCCGACGTCGCCCTTGTCGTCATTCGACTCGACCTCCGAACTGGATTCCGAGTCCACCGTGTGGTTTATGTTAAAGGATATCGTGATTCTAAACAACGAGAATACATGCGCCATCAGATCGGGTGGATCAGGGCTAAGTTTAAGGTTATGGCCAGGGCCAAGGCCAAGGCACCGGCACTGGCACTGGCACCGGCACCGGCACCGACAACCGCACGCTATAATTGCCCGAGCGCCCCCCCACCCCCCTCGCCCTCGTTTACCTTTCCGTGCTCGTTGTTTTCGTAAGTGTGACTTCGGCACCATTAAGCGACACTTTAAAGTCTTTTATCTCCGTCGGAATAGTCTTCAGCTTCTGCGCCTTCTTCTCCGCGACGATCTCCTCGGCCAGGAATTCAACGAGCTCCTTCTCGGCTACAAACAAACGAAAGTAAATTTTAGTCAATCGCTGAAGCGAAAGCCAATGCCCAAGACCTTGAACGGACGGAGGAGGCTTCTTATTTCACTGGTAGTGTAGGACCCGGACGCCCGTGATATTGGGGAATGGCTGGGAGGGGAAGGACGAGAAAGGGCAATTCTATCTCAAACCTTTGGTGTGGGCGAATCGACAGGAGAGACACGTGCAGGGCCGCTGCTCCCGGGTCCCGACGAGGCTCGACGACGCCGTGAGGACCTTTGGCGGCTGCTGCTGCACTTGGCTCCATAACGACCTTCCCGTTTGTGCGTTCGCGGCGCTCAACTTGCCCGGCTTCACGAGATTCTTCAAACTCGGAAGTCGAATGACGCTCCTGGCGATGCCGTTCATGTTGCTCGTCCGATGATATGACCTGCCGATAATCAAGATTCACGCTTATCACCGAGATCCGACAAACTTTCTCGACACGACGAGTTCCCTCGGCGATCACGATGCAAAACGTGCTTCTGCAACTCGTCACAATATGGTGGCCATCCACTCGATCTTCCGCTTTTCTTTAAGTGGGGCCGGCTCGGGCTTCCTTCCTTCTCGTTCTTTCTCAACCCGTGGGCGCCCGGCCAATGGGGCGCCGACCTCGGCTTATGGGCGACGACGCGCATTGGTCTGCGAGCGTTTCGGCCGACGGCGGTTGGCGGTTGACGGTGGTGGCGGTGGTGGCGGTGACGGTTCCACAAACGACTGGCGCCGTGTTTTCCGGTATTTGAAATTATTATAACCAATTTGGGCATTGTCGGGTGACTTTGGTTGGGGAAGGTCCTTCGTGGATGGCTCGGTGTGCCTCGTTACGTACACGAGAACATTTTACATTTTTAAATCAGCGCTCCTCCCGATCGAGTAGGTCCGTCGCTTAAGTCAAACACCATCGGCCCATCACATTGTTTATTTAATTATTTATTTATTTATTTTCTATTTATCTCTCTCAAAATTTTGTGCTTTTCCCGCGTAACGTGAGTCGTTGGTCGTGTGATTAACGCCAATCGCAAAGCATCGACTTACGGTTCGTCAGCATCGTTATATTAAAAAAAGATTCTTTGCTCTCTCTCTCTCTCTCTCTCTCTCTCTCTCTCTCTCATTTACTTTCGTTTGATTCGCGTCGTCTCGTTAGCTTTGAATTTCACATTTTCAAATTTCAGCTTGCGCGTCTTTAGCCGTGCTTTAATTTCTTTCCGCTACAACTCTTCGGGCCACAAACTTCCCGTACAATTTATTCTTTACTAAACGCCTCTCTTGATCATGCAATAATAATTCTTGTTACACTACCTCCCAATCGCTTTGTATCCCAAACGTTTTGTCTCCCTCTAACCAATGAGCAATAATACAGCATAATCCGTGTTGGAAAAGAGAAAAAAGATAAAGCCACGCAAAGCTATTATTTCCATTATGTGCCCGCTAATTTTATTATTATATCGTGTTTGCTTTATGGCGTCTGTGTGCGGACGGTAGCATTGCGGACTCGAATGCAAGTGCGAGATGCTGTAAAACTTATGGTTATGTAACATTACCAAGTAGATGCACGCAAAGTACGCAACGACGATCGAGGCTCGACAGTCTAAGCTCCCTCGCGGCTTGTAGTAGCGAGTTTCTTGTGGGTGGACAGATGACGGTACGGTTTGCACCGATTGGTCAAGTTTTTTTTCTCACCGACCGAGTGGATTCGTAGTTTCGAACGCGATGCCGCTAATTTGAACGAATGGTACGGATATTCATCATTTGTTTATGCGTACACTCAACCTCTCGCTACACCATGGAATTTGACATAACAAATTGCGCGACAAATTCGATGAGGATGGCTGTAAGCGTTGAATCACAGCGTTGTTGCTGTGAAAGATCATCGTTGCGCTTCTAGTGCCTGTGATTGTATGAAATATGAAATTCAAAGTTTTATTCCTTAAATGAACGCTGCCCGTGAGCGATATATGCTTCTTTTTTTTTTTAATATAATTTTGCAGAATGTTCTTGTGCCAAATGTCATATTTAAACTGTCCATAATGACTATTGGGAATGGATAATATGTTGATTAATTCAATAGGCAAAAAACGGGCATTAAAGGGCTTATTGATTTATTTATTGATCATTCGTTATCGGACGAGCGACAATTTCCGATATCGATGAACATTGATTGATCTACCAATGCCAACCAATACGTCAGATCTAGGCCTATCAATAATCCTACAATAATCGCTTATCTCGCGAAATTGAAAAATTATCTCGCATGGGTAATGGTTGGCCTGAAACTACAGACGTAAAAATGAATATCTAAAGGATAAAAGGCAAACAAACATTAGTAATGGTGGCAAGCAATTGTATTTGCTTGCTCTTGCTTTGTCGATTAAGTCGAGTATGGGAAAACGTTGCTTTGATTGACCGGTGTGCTTAGTGAGCGGACGTCGACGCGTTGTGCTAACAAAGACATGACGATGGTGTAGCTGGTAATTTGTGATACGATGAATTTCAAAAGGAGAAATAGCGTAAGATACCGTTTGTTGCGCATACATAAGCATTTACATAATAATTTGTTTGGTCGTTTGCTTTTATTGTTTTGATAAATCACCTGAGAATAGTCAGCTGCAGGGAATTATCACTCAAGCATAAAGATCGGCTTGTGCTGTTCTTATCACTATTGTGCTCGTGGATACGGGCCTCGAAGTTAATAAAGCATCATTGGAATAAAGACGCTGAATTTCAGGAAAGAAAATTTCAATGATCTCGTGACAATTGGTTGTCGCTATATGGGGAAAAATGTCGACGACGCACAAGGAAAGAATATCCTTTAGGGAGCAATTACGAATGTACCAAAGACATTGCGAAAGAAGCGAATATATGGAAATCGAGCCAATGGCAGGGGCGGTGATCAAAAAATTGCTGAAGTAAGCTCTCTTAGAAAAAGAGAGCTTGCTTTCTGCATGTGCAACTAAGGAGCGATTGCATTGAAAGCTGAAGCTTTCGCTGACGATACAATGACGGCTGGCCGGGGTGGGGCGAGGGGGTGGGGATAGTTTGTTTAGAAGAGGCGAAGAGAGATAAATGGATTAAGACTGTCAAGGAAGAGGTAAATTTTTATTGCCGAAAGCGAAATCTTTGATTATTCCCGTAATTTATCAACAAGATAAATATATAAATATAAGCCAGGCGGATGAATTTATAATCTTAAGGATACATAGGCAAAAATGAGGCAAAAATGACTGGCAATTATGGTGAAGTTTATGCATTTATGGCACGCTCGATGACATCGTCATTACATTATTCGTGTGAAAATAATGCAAGGATTAGTGAAGGAATGACGAAAAAAAGTTGAAAGAAATTGAGGGAAGCGTGAACTAAAAATCGAATAGAGGTTACGTACTGGCGTTAAAAAAAAAATAAAAAGGAAAAAAAAAAAAAGTTCACCCCCATTCGCGTATTAAGACATTAATATTATATATTAGTGACAATAATGACGATCATGACGTATGGCTGCGCCAATAATTAATAATAAATTACAGGAATACGCAAAATATTTGTTTGTGCATTATGAAGGTTAGAGCATTTTTAACGTACATGTACTTATTTCTCAACAATGTCAAACTGCATAATGCTTAGACATTGAAATCATCGAATGGAAAAAGAAATTACCAATTGTCGATAAAAATTGCTTCGCTTCTCGCGCAGAAACATTTCGATAAGCAAGTTCTTCGGTGAATTTTTATTAATTTTCATCTCGATACAATATTATAACAGCATATAGGCAAAACCTCGACTTCCTTTATTTCATTCGTTTCTAATGAAAAAAAAAAAAAAAAACAAAAACAAAAAACAAAACAGGTGCTTAGTGAAATAAAGAGTTTAAAAAAAAAAAAAAAAAACATTTTAAATAGGAGTTTCATTGGAAAATTATAGTTTTGTCAACTTGTGGAATTTTGAAATTAATAAATTTTCATATTTCATACTTTTAGTTTCGCTTTATATTATATATTCACCGATGAAAGTATAATTCTATTTTCTAATGCGTAATTGCACTTGCACCTTCTATTTTCAAAACTTTCCCTAATAATCACACCACAACGACGAGTCTTACAATTCCTGTGCCAATGTACACCTATATAACTTTTTTCATTAGACATGGTTTTTCCATTCGCAGTAACATTAATTCGCATGAATTTTTACAGTACATCCGTACTTGGTAGGTGCTGCCATCTGTATTCCTCTACGAATTTTCGTAACCACAAGTTTTTATTTCTTTTTTTTTTTTTGTGTTCTTTACAGCAATGCGCGGAGCTACTGGTAGATGGAGCTAATGGACGCTCTCGATCAATTTGAAATCTTAATCTCCAGTGTTTCAGTGGCCGCAGTGTATAATCAATAGTAGTTAGTTATACATGCACATTCGCCGACATTGGATGACATTTTTTCTTTACATATGGGTGCCGTAATCTTTGACACATCCAACGCTCCCATCCCAATACATTATAAATGCTTAATTTCGCAATTTAATCTTATAGAAAATTGTAAGACGTTGGTTGTGATAAGCTTCAAATTCCATACGGATGAATAGTTATGCAAATTAAAAGATTTTCGCGCCGAGTACGCGTTTTGTGAAATTTCCACGACTGTAGAGATAGAATGTTGGTTGAAAGAAATTGAAAATAAATGATAAGGCGTCAATCGCGATGTGCGCTTTCTCTCTCTCTCTCTCTCTCTCTCTCTCTCTCTCTCTCTCACTCCCTCTCTCTTTCTTTTTTCTTAGGCTGGCTTTGCACGTGAATGGAAAAATTTCTTTCCCCACATTCAAATATCCATAGATTTAATGAGTGATCGGAAGAAATAAGAAAATTACCGTGCGTCTTTGAAATGAATTTTCACTAGGCGTGGAATAATAAGAAATTGGTTAAGTAAGAACGAAACAACGTTGTTATCCAATGTAATTGATATAACATTCAAATTCAATGCTAAGTACAGTGTAATTGAAGTATGTTTAATGGTTATTCGGTACTTATGGCAAAGCTTTGGATTTTCGCGCAGCGCTTAATTACTACGTAAGAGCTTAACGCATTGTTAATTAACTTATCCGAGGATTATAATAATCCATAAAAATATGTGCAATAAGCATATTATAAAAGGCTTTATTTATAGAGAAAAAATTTTCATCCTTCTTACAAATCTGAACGAATCGTGTAATTAATTTCACTTGACAATTACAATATCATAGCAATGATATCAATAACCCTAATCGCAATATTGTCAGGTTAAACTATTAAGTCATAAAGTACTTTTATCTACACTTTTAAATACGTAGAAAAATATATGTAAATTGCATGAAAAAATGTAATTAGAAATTTTCCAAAAATTTTTCTGAAATTATTTATAAAAATTTTAAGACTATTATCGTCTTTGTTTATTTAATAAACGATTTAAAAATACTAAATTTATATAATACTTTTAAAAGTTATTCACGAAAAGCTAAGATTTGAATGTGTACGATATTTGGATAACTTATCAGTACTAAAGTAAATTAAATAAAGCAATAATATTCTGTTGAACCGGAATGGTAAGTAATTATATCATATTTCGATATGTGTTTGTGTTTGTGTGTGTGTATATATATATATATATATATATATGTTTTGGTTAGATATTAGTTTTACATAGATTTTTTTTTTATTCGTTCTTTTGCTTAGATTAGCTTAGATTACAAGATATTTAACAGCTCGGTATTTAATATACGAATAGATACTTCGAAATTAAAGAACCGTATCTTTATGACAAACAATGTTAATATTTAATATTTGTGTTTTTAACGAAACATATTTTAAGTTATAAAGAGATGTATTACATAATCGGAGAGAACGGCACGATGTACGATGTAAAATCCTTTTAAAAATGGACGCTTAAAATGTGAAATATTATTTGCGAATCAAGTTGAAAGAATCTTGTGATTAAGAGTATTGGAATATCGGTCAGTGTAAAAATAATAAAATTGAAAAATATTTCTTCTCAAAATGAAAAAGTGATTACACGAAGCACAATATCGTATGTTATAAATAAATTCGATATAACTGAAAATCACATTTATTATAAAATTGACATAATAATTGAACCTAAAGCGAATCACTTTTAACTTTTTATTTTTGTATGATATTTGTGTGCGATAATAGAAAATAATAATATATTTATATGTGGTATATATTTATTTGAAAAAAAAAAAAAAAAAAAAAAAAAAAAAAAAAAAAATAAATAAATGAATAAATAAATAAATGAACAATTAAGGGCTCAAATTTAAATTTTGAAGGTGTACAAATAATTATTATCATCTTTATTATTATTATTATTGTTATTGTTATTATTATTGTTATTATTATTATTGTTATTGTTATTGTTATCATTATTATTGTTATTATCATTGTTATTGTTATTGTTATTATTATTATTATTAATTATTATTATTATTATTATTATTATAACTGCTATTATACGCGTACGTATACGTGTGTTGTGTCTATGCTATTTTTAAATTTGATGTATTATTATTCACTTGTTCCTGAATTTACAAATGCTAAAAATAAAAATTTCACGTATATGTATATGTATATAAAAATTATTGACTTGCTTCGCTCGTTGATTGAGTTGGTCGGGATAATTTATCCTTATGCAACTCAACTTCGTGCAAGTGCGCGAGTCGCCACAATTTCATAATTTGAGACAATTTGTTGCATTTGAAAATTCAGAGAACTGTCGTGCGATCGAGATTTGTGCATTTACGTTGTAAAGTAATTTATAATCGATAACTCGTACATGCCCTCTCAAAACAAACAACATCTACTCGGCTAAATTATCATTCGGCTAAAGCCATGGAAATTGTAATTACCCTCGTAGTCGACAGGTTGATACATATAATATTTAATAAGCTGTTTGGGTGTCGTTGGAAGGATAAGTAACGGCCAGCACTGCTATTCACGAACAATTTGCAAAATCTAATGTCCGGCATCGTAATGCACGATGTCTTTTAAATCCTGTGAATTCGTTTTTCTCACTGATTAGCCATGCCGCTCTCAAAAGCATAAATTATCCGGACGAATTGCTCGTGTATGGGTAATATGTATCCATGGGGGAAGGGCCAGCCGAGCGCAATCGCATGACATAAGCTTTAAGTTCGAGGTACGAATAAATTTGATAATACAAGTGCGAGGCGTTATTTTTAATTTTGCACGTAGCATGGTTAGTCATGCAACGGTGCTCAATGAGCGACGGCGAGGGTGTCTTGCTCAGACGTAGGGGAGACCGAGATATAATTACCACCCTTATGCCCAAGTCTATCGAGAATCGTTCCATTCCATACCATTCCACTCTTCGGTTCCGACGGTTCCGTAGGGACTCTAAGACCTTACGTAATCGAGAGATAGAGATAGAGAATGAGAAAGAGAGTTGACTGTTCTCGCACTTCTTTGGTCGGGTTGCCTCTAGCCACGACTCCTCGCCACCCCTTTTCACGCTCTTCATGCCGATCGGGGCTTTCGGCGTAGTTGACGAAAAGCCCACCCAGTGCTCTTCCTGCGGTGTTTGTCGCTGACGCTGCCCTTGATTGGCGTTTCGACTGTCGGATCGACGACACCTCGGGAGGTCATATTTATGGATGCAGAGTAGGGGCCGCCAGAGTGAATTCGAAGCCACTCTACAATGTCATCGTAGCGGAGCTTTGGTGACTTTTTAGTTGGAGGAACCGTGATGAAGAGTAGATTCAAGAGTGCCAATGTATGTCTCGATTTATGTTTCGCAGGTAATTTATTAATTAGTCATCCGAAATTTCCCCATAATTACGGAATGCTACGCGTTACACTTAACATATTTACATCGAGGTCGTAGCCATGGTATTTAATAATATATCGTCGTAAGTCTTACGAACGATCGACGATCACGAGAATCTCGTTAGGATTCAGATTCAGTTTTTCTCTTACGTATGCCGTAAATTATAGCGACAATTAAGAATCAAAAGAAGTAGAAGAAGGAGAAGAAGAAGGAGAAGAAGAAGAAGAAGAAGAAGAAGAAGAAGAAGAAGAAGAAGAAGAAGAAGAAGAAGAAGAAGAAGAAGAAGAAGAAGAAGAAGAAGAAGAAGAAGAAGAAGAAGAAGAAGAAGAAGAAGAAGAAGAAGAAGAAGAAGAAGAAGAAGAAGAAGAAGAAGAAGAAGAAGAAGAAGAAGAAGAAGAAGAAGAAGAAGAAGAAGAAGAAGAAGAAGAAGAAGAAGAAGAAGAAGAAGAAGAAGAAGAAGAAGAAGAAGAAGAAGAAGAAGAAGAAGAAGAAGAAGAAGAAGAAGAAGAAGAAGAAGAAGAAGAAGAAGAAGAAGAAGAAGAAGAAGAAGAAGAAGAAGAAGAAGAAGAAGAAGAAGAAGAAGAAGAAGAAGAAGAAGAAGAAGAAGAAGAAGAAGAAGAAGAAGAAGAAGAAGAAGAAGAAGAAGAAGAAGAAGAAGAAGAAGAAGAAGAAGAAGAAGAAGAAGAAGAAGAAGAAGAAGAAGAAGAAGAAGAAGAAGAAGAAGAAGAAGAAGAAGAAGAAGAAGAAGAAGAAGAAGAAGAAGAAGAAGAAGAAGAAGAAGAAGAAGAAGAAGAAGAAGAAGAAGAAGAAGAAGAAGAAGAAGAAGAAGAAGAAGAAGAAGAAGAAGAAGAAGAAGAAGAAGAAGAAGAAGAAGAAGAAGAAGAAGAAGAAGAAGAAGAAGAAGAAGAAGAAGAAGAAGAAGAAGAAGAAGAAGAAGAAGAAGAAGAAGAAGAAGAAGAAGAAGAAGAAGAAGAAGAAGGAGAAGAAGAAGATGAAGAAGTATGATAGATAGAATAGAAGAAGAAGAATAGAATAGAATAGAATAGAAGAAGAAGAACTTGGAAAGTTTGGAAAATGCTTGACGCTATGCTCGACTGAGCAAAAGCTTTCGTTCGAAACTGAAATATGTAAAAGAGCATCTAGGAATCTCGCGGTAAAAAGTTTCTCGGTTGAAAATTCAGGGCAAGAGCTTCGCGTACGAATGATAATTTCCTCGGCGATTGTTTAAATTGCCATGAAACTTTATA